TGTAAATTCGTGTAGTAAGTAGTAAGTATGGATCAGAAGGTGAATTAACTTATCAATAAACACGAATTCACGTAACAAACAAACTTAACAAGTTTTATTATTAAATATAACAGATCTGTATAAAATGGCAAGAAAAAGAACGATAATTGTTTTTCTTTATAAAAAGCAAGCGCGTGGCTAGATAATGATTGCACGCGACAACTGGTAAACAGTTTCAGCGCAGTGTAAGTATTTAACGATAGGTGGCGGTCGCCACAGTCTCATACAACGCCCCCTATAGTTCGCTGCTATCGCGAAGAGAGATTAGGACATGAAGATAATTTATTTGCAACCAGCTTAATATATCTTTAACCAAATGGCAACAAGCTGAACTAAATTGTAAGCAAATATCAGGTGTTAACATGTAGAATTTAATAGTACTTATTTTAATTAGATAAATTGTAGTTTATTTCAAATATTATTAATTGACTAGCTAAATTATTTATTACGTATTTTTTTTACGTTCTTACTATAGCCAAGGTTTTGTAAGGTAATCCTGTACAATTTATTTTTTGTTACTAACAATAAAGTATGAGTTTTTTCATATTCATAAATAAATTATTGCTTCTGGTTTGTTTGTGCATAATTCATATCTTCATTAGCATTCAATTTATTTAAAAGTACTTCTCTTTGTATAAATAAAAGTTAGTCTTCGTATTTTTTAAATCTTTTTCATATTTGGTTCCTCACAATCTATTAGTGAGAAGAGAAAATACGCTTTATTTACATCAAAATTAACTATCTTTAAATTCATACATTTAGAGTCGCCATGGTGCCAAATAGATTCTAAACTTGCAAATTTAAAAATAAAAAAAAACATGTAAATGTTTGCCCGGGGGTGGCTACGAGTTACCCTTTCTGTGTTGTTTTTTTAAGCTTCTCGTGGGCCACTGCCCGGAAGTTGCCAAGACTTGGCGATAATTTTGCCACAGTTCACAATACGGAAATCTCCCCCGAATGACTCTTGGAAAAAGTATTTTAATATGAAAAATGTATTTCATACAGATTTGAGTTTTATATTAGTAATTTAATATCTTTAAAACTTTTTAAAGTCTTATTATTACAATAGTGAACATTTGCATTATACTCCTACACAACAAAAAAATCTAAGCCAAATTTATTTAGCAACATATTTTAAAGAAGTAAACTATATCTGAATTTATAATTTTGCTATTCCTTAAGATTTTGTCATTGTTTAATTGTTTTGCATTCGAATCATGTCTTGTCAATCATCATATTATGTGAAGTCATCTTTAGAGATGTCTTGGAAAACTGTCTTAAACTTTGTTACTGTAAATAAAAGTAATTATAAGGAGATATTTTTGATATTACTAATTATAAAGTAAATATTATTATAAGGAGTAAAAACAGTAATTATAAGGAGATATTTCTATGTTATGATCTGTCACGCAAACTGCAATCGCAAAGGCACCAAACAGACTTTAAACTTAAGTTATTTTTTATAATGAAATAGAAGTTTATCTGATATGGTATTAAAAAATTCCTTTTTTTTTTCTTCATTTTGTTTAGGTTGCTGCTATGGGTCGCACATTGAGGGTTGGCGGGCCGCAGGTTGGGCATCCCTAACTTAAATCACACCTTCAAATACAAAAGAACACTCTTTAAAGATAGATGATACAATAAAAGGCTATATCAATTCACTTTGTTTAGATGTACTTTATTTTTGTAGAACTAAAAAAGTATTAAACACTTAACAAATTTTTGAAATATTATTTCATTTAAATATTTGATAATTTCGTAGAATTTCTTGAATTGAAAATGTGCTCTCGAAAGGTGAAAAAGTGGAAGGTTAAAAGAAATTAGCGAAAATTTGTTTTAGAATAACGAACTGGCTCACATAGATTTAAATTTAAATAACTCATTCTTCTTTTTACAACCATTTTAAATATGGGGGAATATTAAGTTCTAGAGCTAATTTCGTCTCCTAAAAGTAGAAGTAAGGACTACATTTCAAAAGTAGTTGTCAAAATATTTCAAAGAAGTTGCAAGTAACTAATGAAATGTTTTTCCAACCAATGATGTTACTAGTGAGGCAAAACAAAAATTAACCATTAAATGAAATAGTAGCTTAAGTAAAATATGAGACTCCTTACTAAGTTAGAAAACTAATAAATAAAAAAATAAAACAACTTTGACTTATTTGTACTATTTCAAACAGCTTATCAAACAAAATTTCATTCGCTTAATTAGTACAAAATTGATAGTTACTAGACTTTTTTTCTTAAATTTATTAGTTAAAATTGTAAGATGAAAACTATTTCACTTTTCTGCATTGATAAAATGTTTTTTTTTTTTTCTTTTAAAACTTTTCCATTTAATGTTGCTCACTTAAACAGCAGAAAAACAAATCTCCCTAAAAATTATATCCTAGATGATGATAACTAGTAATCTTCAGTTTGTTGTAAACACACATTTTTTGAATCATTATTAGTCACCAACAGTATCCATAGAAATTACTTGCAAATAATACATTAAGAAAAATATTTATCAATATTTTTAATGCATAGGATATACTTTGAAAATATTTTTCGATCTTTATAAGTACAATTGTATTTAGTGTTTTTACAAACAATGGCCTATGTTTATTTACTAATCAGAAATTTAAAACAAATTTTTAAAAAATTTTTGACGTGAAATAGAAACTATGATTGCTATTCAATTTTCATGCATCTTGGAACTACAAAGCTTCAGGATGTGAATATATTACACAGGGCAAAACTAGATATAAGACAATGAGAAATAGTCCTGGAACTATTTTTATATACAGTGTCTGTATCAAAAAAGAAATACAGTGTCTGTATATATACAGTGTGGTAGGATATACAGAGTAGTGTAGTAGGATATACAGTGTCTATATCAAATAGAATAAAAAGAAAGCAAGGTTAGAGGGAATGAATTTGTTTATTTTTATTTATTTAAATGCAAATTTTTTTTTAGACTTTTATATGAAATAATCTGATCAAATGTGTTATAAATTATTTAATAGTATTTGAAAAGGAGCAACCAAAATAGTTAAATTCACGACTTTTATCTGGAATGAAATTTATCAACTAAATTCTGAAAAAATTACTTTAAGTTACTCTGAGATGAACAAGTTTTTCTACCAATTTTACATACAACAACTATATATTTAATAAGCTTTAAAAGCAAAAGTAACAGAAAATAAATGCAGTATTTTAAAATCTGTTTAATGTCGACATATTTTACATACAGCAAATGGAGAATTATTAAAGTTTCTTAACTCTTAGTCTATTTTGATTTATTATTTAAATACATCCCATATTCATTATTTAGTTGGGAAATGCCTTTATTGTTGCTTATTTCTTTTCTTAAAAATTTCATGTAGTTATTTAGAAGATTTAAAATTAAAAAAATACGAACAATTTAAATCATGCCAGCCTTAAGTCCTTATAGAACTACTATGAATCACATTGAGAATAAATATAATGTACACTATTTTATTGTTAATATAAAAAAGTCAAGAATTTAAATGAATGAATTATTTTTATGATTTAAATGAATTTATGATAAAAAATTAAGAATTTAAGTGTTTATGAATTTTGTTTATTGGGAAATGCATAAAATTAAAATAATTTAACTTCCCTAATAACTTTGAAAGATTTTGTAAAAAAGTGTAGGATTCTTTCAGAAAAATGCATTCACTAAAATTTGTACTATTCCTTTTCTCAAACATAGAAAATTCAGCTATTGTTTTTTTTTTTTTTTCTTTTAAAAATATCAATCTTGTTTTGCGTTCAATAGATTACTACTTGGAACCTGCTAACAGTGAAGTACAAAAAATAACTAAATATGAATACTCAAATGAAATTTATGGTTATAAAAAGTTGAGAATAATCAATAACAATACTTAAACCAAGATCACCACATAATTGTCATTGAGAAACTAAACTTGAAATACTAAAGTGCTGTTACATTACTCAATATTATAATGTAGTTAGAATTAAACTACTTTTTATTATTAATACGTGGTGTTGCCGACTTATGCTTGTTTTTAGTGGCGCCATCTATGGCCGAGAATTATTATTAAAACATTTTCCTTCATTTTTAAAATAAATTCAATTGTATTTCAATGAAGGAAGAAAAATTACCAAATAATTTAAAATGAGTAGTCTAAAGGACCAAAGTTTGTTGATTTAACTCAAATGATTTTTTTTTTAAAAAAATCATTGATTTAAATCAACTGATTTTTATATATATTGATTTAAAATATTAAAAAACAGTGTTTTAAGTTATAGATACTTATATTATTTCTTTTCTTAGTTTTAAAATTTATTTTAAATAAATTGCTGCATTAATTAATTTTAGCTAGCGAAATTACTTTCTTTCATGGTATGTGTTAAATTCCAACACATTTGAAATTGCATTTTAAAAATCTTTTGATTCTTGAGATTTAAAGTGCAGATTGAAGTAAACATATAAGTATTTTTTTCTCATAATATGTTTACAGTATCTTTGACATTATCAGATTTTTTATAAAGAAATTTTGTGGAAAAAAATTTAAATGTGTGCATAGATTTTTTTAAAAAAAATTTTTTTTTAGCTTAACTTATCTATTTTGATATAGGATTAAAAATGAATATTTTAATATAAAAATGTATAGACTAAATATTTATTTATTTATTGATGAATTACTACATTTGTAAGCAAAATCTGTTATATTTATTTTGTCATTTTAAAAATCAAGAGAAAAAAAAAAGAAATCACAATTTTAAATTAAAATTATGGTTTGGAAATTGAAATTTTGTTATAACTTTGTTCTGATCATTTAATAGTTAAAGTATTCTTTAAATTCTCTGTTTCATCTAGTCTTTAAATTTCAATCATGCATTTGTTTCAAAATGGTTGCTGTTGCTATGCATTCAAAGCTATGTATTATAACAAGTTATGTATTTTAGGCAGTTGGAGCTTCTAAAATATTCGTATAATATAGTTTCAATATTAATTTAATTTTGATTAAACATTTATAAAGTGTTTTTCAGTCAAAGTTTTTACAGTGTATTTGAATTTAAAAAAATCTGAAATTTTTTTTTTTTTTTTTAATCAAAAAAATCACGAACCCTTTAAAGGACAATACACTTGCAGAGAAGAATTTGAACAGACAAAACTAAATATAAATATCCAACATCTTCAAGGGAAAATAAGAGACGCTTTTCACAAGAACCTTTATACGAACAGTGAGAGTAGAACATGACAGCCAAAATCTCTTTAATATATATTGTGATTGAATTTTGCAACACAAACCACACTACATATTAATGTGTTTAGCCTAAATCTTTTCAAGACACTTTCAAATCACATTGAGAAACAGGACGCAGTATGGCTCAGATATCATATTTGATAGACTAACTGAAAATAAAACATCTAATATGTCAGAGATGATTGTGCTCCAGAAAAAAATCTGGATTTTTCGCTCACTGCGATCCGGAAATCCAAGGTTCAAAAGTTTCA